TCATTTTTTTTCCTTGGCCGGAATCAGGGCTCGCCTCGCCGTGCGACACGACAGGCCGGCCCAGGCCGCCGCCTTAATCAAATGCCGATTCCATGGGGGGGGCGAGCTTGGGTAGCCCGGGCCACCAGGAGGGGGAGGTACTCAATAGTGGAGTGGGGGAAAAATAGTCCATCTACCATATAGAAAGAAAACATTTTAAAAAATCAAATAAAAATCTGCTTACCTTAATTTGCCAGCATATTCCATCTCTATCTGACACCGGTCGCGAATGAACTGTCCATACTTTTCCAAAAAGTCGATCCCTTTTTGCGTATGAAAAGATAAGTTTTCATACTGGTCCTGAAACAGACAGAAAAAAAAAATCAAACATTAGAACGGTCCATATATAAAGAAGCAGCTCTCTGGACAGTTTGACCGACAGCGTATGGTCCAGCGAAACAGGAAAACAAGCGCCTATGACGGATTGGCATGCTTTCTTGGCTAAAAAAAATCGCGACAGGAAAATAAAATCACGATGAATACAGAAACAGTATTCAACGAACGTCTCACTCCCTCTCACGCAGGGCACATGGGGCCGGGCCGGGACAGCCTCTCTCGCTCGCTCGAACGCCCCGCCGCCGGGGCGAGAGCAGAGAGCGAAGAATGGCGCGAACCAGAGGCGCGATTCCAACTTTTCAAGTCGCCTGCCTGCAGGTGATAGATCCAGTCCACTCCAAAGCCAAACGAAATAAGGCCTTTCCAGGCGATTTTAAGTGGCGGTGAGGACGGCCAAGGCGGTACGGACCGCCGGGGCGGTGTAAATCAACGGGCCTTTCACTCGCGCTCACACACTCACACACACACACACACACACACACACACACACACACAGAGGGCGTGGCGTGGCCGGCGGCAGCCAGAGCGCCGATACACACGAGACATTCCAAGAGTGCCGATGGTTTGTCGCATCCGACGACCGAGCGGCCGCAGCAGCAGTGAGGCTGGCTCTAGGAGGCTACGACATCTAGCACATCTCACATATCTCCTTAGTATTTCCACCTGTGTATACTGAAGTCAGGGGGAAACTTATGATTGTCAGTTTCCATAAGGCGCGCGGTTTAAGGTCCGGCTGACAAAGCGGGCGATGCACCGCGTGGGTTGTCCACATGCAGGTTTTTCTGTGTCACACAATATTGACTAGGAGCTACCGCACTCCACCCCCTCCCCCTCTTCCTCCCCTTAAACCGCGACTATAGTTTCCCTATAATTCACTGCGCGTCAAAAACATCTCGGGGCCGTTTTAGACGGAAAATTAGGACATCCACACACACACGTGCATGCGCAGAAGCAAGGACGTCCGCTACAACAAAAGCCGGCACCTCTTATTTCCCCCTCCATCTCTCTCGCCCTGGCGGTGATCGGAAGCTAAACACGGGGTCCTCGGCCCCCGTGTTTAGTGCGTTCGCCCCAAGGTTCGGGAACCCACTTAGCTGCCAACTTGCGAGGATGTCGGGCGTTACCGGAAACCGGGATCAGCATACTTGCTCTGCAATGTGCCCCGGTGGAAGGGCCTCACAATTAGGACGGCTACTGGTCGGACCGAAAACCTTGGGCCACGGGTGGCCTCACGGTAGTCAAGTCAAGTCAAGTCTCTCGCTCCCACGCCCCCCCCCCCTCTCTCTCTCTCTCTCTCCCTCCCTCTCTCTCCCTCTCTCTCTCTAACTCCCTATTTCTTTCCGCGTCGGTGGGCTCCCGGTCGGCGCAGCATAAACAATCAGGGCATCAGCTGATATCGCCGCATCGATAGCGGCAAGAAGAGCAGCGCGAGGGGGGGAGGGGGGCAGTGCCCTGCAATGTGGGACACCCCTTCCCTTCCATTATAATTACCTTAACACCCTCCTAAGAGCATCCCGGGCCGCCCCGCCCCGCACACTTTCACTTCCGGTCACCCCCCCCCTCCCCCTTCCTCAAAGCACATGTTATCGCCAATCAGCGACACGTCGTTGGTGTTGGAAGACACAGCCTGCCGAAACTATAACGAAGGCGTATGAACTGAACTAACAGCTAGTGGGGTCCAAATGAAGTACAAGTCCCAAAAGATGACACTTACTACGAATGCAGATCTAGCTCGGTGGCTTGTTTAGAAAATTTCATGTCAGGGATTCGTGAACACGCCTGTATTGGCGTGCCAAAGACCAAAGGGCTATAAACTGCGACATTTATTTGAAGAAAAACTCCTACTTTCCGAATGCTAAGCATTTGAACGACTTACAGACTATACTGTATAAAAACGTTTCTTGTATTTAAGACCTGATCTTGGATGCCATTGGCGTTCTCCATTAAGACCGAGCCTTGAAACTCAAATACCTTTTCTTACTGTCTACATAGAGAATTTAATATGCTCCAACGCTAACTTTAAAATGTTCAAAGAAATGGCTCGGTCTCCCAAAGACGGTAAATTCCTACGACCGAGACGAGCATAAAGCACGAAGGAGTCGAAAGACTTGAACAGGGGCAAATTTGTATCGTAGTGTACTATGTACACATTTTCGTCGTAAACGCACACTGGACACGCCCTGCAAGTAGCGAACTGTAATGAACAGAGAAGTGGGACGCGGCAGCTAATCACCTTCCTTCCCATAGCGCCTAGTGGGCCGGCCCTGTACAGCTGCAGCTTGCTGACCCGTTCGGTATTGATGTGCAGGAGCGGCCGAGGCGCAAGAGCGCAGGAGGCATACCGCTCCCACAGCTAATCACCGGGGGGGAAGAAGAAGAAGAAGAAGAAGAAGAAGAAGAAGAAGAAGAAGAAGAAGAAGAGGCGGCCAGTGGCAATGCATGACGGGCAGGTTTGAGGCCTTTGCCCCCCTTTGGCAAATTATCCGCCTTCATTTTTTTTCCTTGGCCGGAATCAGGGCTCGCCTCGCCGTGCGACACGACAGGCCGGCCCAGGCCGCCGCCTTAATCAAATGCCGATTCCATGAGCTCGCGCGCAGCGCACTTATACACTGTCACAAAAACTTAACTCTCCTGCACTGTCAAACAGAGTCTCGCAAATTTACAAAATATGTTATGATTGGTATTTTAAAAATATGATGTGAATTTGCGACAGCTCATTCTTGCTTGTCCATCAATTCCAAGTCGATAGGAAAAGCTTGTAAATTTACATTTTCAAATTTTACTCATTTTTCTATAACATCACGGTATATTTCCCGTAAACCTATGGCTATTTTTCACAGAGTGTGCAAACGGCAAAAGCAACAAGTATTTTTTTTTCTTCCAGGGACAATTATAAACGAAGGCAAGTAAGCCAGAGAGAAAAAATAGAAGTCTTATTCTTGGATAAATTGGAGGATCAATGCATGAGGTTCCACATAAAATCTAGCGCGAGGTGAGAAACAACGCATTCAATGGTGCCTAGTAGTTACACACTGCCACTGCAAAGTTTGATGCTGCTGAGCTGCATACGGTTTCGTTCAGACGCATTCCTGCGGTTGCACCAGAGCGACAGCAAGTGGACGGCCGGGCCGGCCGTTCAAAGGGATTTTTCATTCATTCAGTCGTCTTCATGCCTCCTCCCCGGCCGCGGAGCCGGCCGCGCGGTTGCATCCAGACGAATTAATTCAATGACCCAAGAGTTAAGGCGTCGCCGTGGAGTCGTCGTGGCCAGACTCGATAGTCGTTTCCGCCCCTTGCCTCTCTCCCGTTCCCTCCTCCTCTCCTACCGGTCTTCTTAAGCGGCTGATTGACCTTGACCGACCGCGGCGCGCAGAGTGAGAGAAAGAAGGAAACTATG